TTTTTTTTTTTTTTTTTTTTTTTTTTTTTTTTTTTTTGAATGAAGTTTACACGATTATTTATTATTATATATATTCTATCATTACAGTATATATGACGAAATATTTATTTTTATTTACAATATTTATATTTACGATGTGCATATAATTGAGCACTTAAAAAATAAATTTTAACCAAACTATGTGCATGGATTCTGTCCTACCGTCCTACCGATAATACAGACGCACGCACGCGCACACGCATACGCACTTGCACATTTATTTTATGGAATTTAATATTGACTAATGCTCGCTTTATGTTACCAACCGCAAAAATATATTGATTAAACGTGTTCTAAGCAAACGTCAGAGAGGTAATGCGATTCTACCTTTCACGACAAATGTCAAAACTTTATTTGGTAAATTTTCTTCTCATCTCATCTCCGAAGGAAAAGCCTCGTTTCCTAAATTCCTAAATGAAGCAAATTACGTTGGCAATGACACTCAAGTGGGTGGGACATGGCGATGAAACGCGATATTTCATAAATAATGAGAAAAAGAATAATTCGATTACACATCGTATCCTGCCAGTCTTATCCGCATTTCCTCGAGCTCTCTATACATTTAACTGAAAGACCTTATTTTCCATACGCGGACCGTTCCATTCGGCATTTAATTTCGAAGCGACGTAAGCGCTCGCAGTCGAGATTTCCTCCGAGTCCGAAACCACCGAATGGCACTCCATCCCTACACCGCCCCCCACAAACCACCCCGCGCAACGGCCGATATACGCAAAGTAGGGTCTGGGGCCGTAAACTAATGATACAATATTGCGCGGCACACAGTGGGGCTAACAATGGCGGCAGCGGTGAATATGCCTCGACCTGCACACTCCACACTCCACACGGCACCCTGCGAGAACCGAGGGACTGAATTTTTTATGCGACTCTGTCTGGAGCTTCCGCCTTATCAGCGACTTTAATTAATGTTTACTTTGGTTTCGTGCTGCTAAAATTGGGATTTTTTCTATTATTGAGATGTGTACCTACGCTCGTATTTGATCATTAGAGTTCATAAGGAATATCATTATTTGCAAAGGTGCTCTAATACGGACTTTTATATTATAATAAATTATTGTCATAAATCCGATATTAAATATTTATCGCGACGTTGTTGGCCGGACTCCCGGCCCCAGCACCAATAAATTGAAAACCCTCGACCGTTAGATTAAAAGTTACCTTTTCAACAACTATCGATCCTCCAATAATATTGATAATAAAAATTGGTCAAACATTTCAGACTTTTCAATGATTTATCAAAGTAGAATTCAGTTCCCAGTAGCTTCGATGGCCAGACGCTACACCAATGTTCAGTAACACATCCAACACCCGTGAAGGGCTATTGCCTCGGGGACCGTGCATTGATTACCTTTGATATTTCCTATACTCCATCTCTCTGACGTCCTTATCTAGGTACATCAATCCCTGCCCCCCATCCATTCGTCGTCTCTGTACCGATTCCATGCACGATTGCTCTTTTCATGGCGTTCAAAAAAAAAAAAAAAAAAATATCTCAAATGTTTACGCGTTATTTATGACTAGATTGTATAGGATTTTACACAACCACCACCATCCTCCAAATTCACCATTCCCACCTGCAATGAATACTCCTCAAACTTCTTTACAAACCGTTATTGCCTATTATCAAAGATATTACTAAAAAACGTGTATTAACGTAAAAAAAAAGATTATTAAATGCATTAGCCGATGCTCTCATTGGTCAATATTTCACTACAATCTTATCTATTTTTCACTTTTTCCTTTACTTATCTCTCATTTTATCTAATAACATCAATACAAACTAAACATTCATCGAAAATGAAATCCAAACTTCCTTTTCAATATAAACATCTTACTTAATAAATTATATTTCAATATTTTAACATTTATCTTTGAATTGCCTCATATAAAGTACGGAGGGAAAAATTTACAAATTATATCTTGACTAATTATTACTACTGCTCCAACTACCATTCCTACTACCACTACCACTACCACTACCACTACCACTACCACTACCACTACCACTACCACTACCACTACCACTACCACTACCACTACCACTACCACTACCACTACCACTACCACTACCACTACCACTACCACTACCACTACCACTACCACTACCACTACCACTACCACTACCACTACCCACTACCACTACTACTACTACTACTACTACTACTACTACTACTACTACTACTACTACTACTACTACTACTACTACTACTACTACTACTACTACTACTACTACTACTACTACTACTACTACTACTACTACTACTACTACTACTACTACTACTACTACTACTACTACTACTACTACTACTACTACTACTACTACTACTACTACTACTACTACTACTACTACTACTACTACTACTACTACTACTACTACTACTACTACTACTACTACTACTACTACTACTACTACTACTACTACTACTACTACTACTACTACTACTACTACTACTACTACTACTACTACTACTACTACTACTACTACTACTACTACTACTACTACTACTACTACTACTACTACTACTACTACTACTACTACTACTACTACTACTACTACCACTACCACTACCACTACTACTACTACTACTGAATAAAATTAGAATTATACAGCACTCTATTTAATCAGTTAATTTTAATAGATAAAATTAATAAATCACGTAGTTCATAGTATATCATCATTTTCTTAATATAATCCATACTGACGGCACTGCTCCCTATTCCGTTTATATTTCTAGATAAACTGATCATAAATTGTTTTGAAGCCGGAAAATCTGCACCTTCGTTGGTCACTTAAATTACTTAAAATCTCTAAAAATATAATCACATTATTTACATGTAATAAATATTGTTTGCTTAATAATTTTCATGAAAAAAATAATAAATATACTGGCCACGCAGCACGCGCACGCTCATCCCCTCTGCTCTTGATGATTTTCACAAATCTTCGATAGGCTTCGAAAATTTCTTGTTTGTAAAATAAAATAAAATAAAACTTACCTTTTGTCAAAACCTTTGTCACTATAATTTACCATTCTTTATAGGCAAAATTTGTCTGATATTCTATACATGATTAGAAAAATTTTCTCATCATTATAAAAAGTAACTAAAGTACTTTATAAATCTCTAATTGTTTCTAACATTTAATATTTAATGTAAACACCCTGCCAATTCAATGTGCTTAATGTATTTTGCGTTTTGATTAATATCTATTATTTTTGTACAATGAATTTCATTTGCGCGAGGAATTGAAATCATAATTAATTATAGAAATTCTATGTATAATTATTTAACTCGAAACAAAAATGCAATATAAAAGTTTTATTTAATTAAAGATGTATTTATATTTTACAATATCGAACTAATTACAGCCTCTCGTGAAATACGTGTTTGGTATTTGGGAAACATTATTTCGAAATAACAGCATTACAATAGTATGAATAATGAAGCTGATGCTGTGATATTTATTAATGTGTAATATTAAATAATAATCTTTATATACAAAATTTTCATCAAGTTTTTTTTTTTTTTTTTTTTTTTTTTTTTTTAAATACATGGTGGTACATCTACGGATCACTATGTGAAAATTATAGATTTGGTTAAAAATAAGAAAACAAAAAAAACAAAAAAAACGCGAGGTGGCGTTACACGACTTAAATTGGGAAAAATTTTCATTTTTCCGGCAGATGCTCTCTCTGCTCTGCAAAATGCCTATGCCTATTTTCATTCAAATCATACTTACATCGAAATGGCATCGCGAATCGCACTCTTCTGCTACGTCACATATGTTACAATAAGTATTATCATAACATTGAGTATAATGAAATCTAATAGAAAATATATATAATCATTTTTATTAAAAAATAAGCCAACTACTATTAACTCTTTTATCTACCAATATAACTGCCATCTATCGTCATAAAAAAATTAATTTCTTAAAAATTATGAATTGTTAAAATTAATAAACTAAATGTAGTTATATTTGTTGTATTAAAGCAAATTAATTCGTCGAATAATCTGTTATATTGTTAAATTAAAAAAGTATATTAATAATATTCATTATCAATTTATTGTTTATTATTTTTTCCTTTTAATTCTAATAAGCACAATTGCCCACATATTATAAAACAATATTAATGGCAATCATAAACGTAATTTTTATGATGTACAAAATAATTATAATAATATATTTGCAATTTAGAAATGTTCATAATAGTGTTGAAGTTGGAATAAAAATACCAACTTAAGTATAGTATAAATTTAACTAAAAAGTTTATGAAATTCAACATTACTTTTTGTAATAGTATTTCTTTTAAAGTAGTTTTGTTTTCATATATTTCTTGTCGCTGCTATACAATGTTCACAAATTTGGTGAAATGTTCTCTCGTATTTCTTCACAGCATTCATATTTCACATCATATTTCCTTGAATTAATTTAGATAAAAATAACTTTGGTTGATTATATGCGTCTGAATATTTTAGTTGTTTTTTTTTTTTTTTTTTTTTTTTTTTTTAAGAAAAAAATACAATCGACGATACCACATGCATCGCTCTGTTCTCAAGACGGATTATTATCTGCAAAATTTTTTTGAAACATGTTATATGAAAGTGTAAATTGCAATAATGATTTGAGATTTCAATTTTGTCGTACAACTTTTAGCATATATTTCTATTTCAATGTAAACTATCGTTTCATTGTTATTTAAAGAATCCTTTTTCAATAATATTTACTTCTTTCTTAAAAAGTACAGTATTGACAAACAGCAAAACTTCTTAGGGAAATGTAATGACTGTTCTTACTAAAAATCTGTTGTGACGCTCAGTTTGGTCATTGTTTAAACGAAAGCACTATAAATCTATCCCACGAGATGCCAATATATGTAAACCAAACAAAATTAAAATACTGTATTTCTCTAACGGCTCTGTGCGTTCCATATTGTTGACAGGACTTTGCAACCATCAAGACGCGGTGCACATAACGGCCATCCTCGGCGAAAGCGTGGTGTTCAACTGCCATGTGGAGTTCCCAGACCACAACCCGGTGCCGTACGTCCTCACCTGGCGCAAGAAGATTAACGACGAGGTACGATATCGGGCTTCGGCCCAGCAGGGTGGCGGCCCCTCCCTCCTCGCCGTTCGCGAGCTGAGGGGGTGGCCGCCCTTCGCCAAGGGTGCGCTCCTGGTGCCAGCCAACTCGCCGGGCGCGCAACTCCTACCGGAGTACCTGCGTAAAGAGCTCGCACGCCACCACGGCAAGCATACCGAGCAGGACCAGTCGATCGACGTAGGATTCTTGGTAAGGATCTTGCCTTCCTCTCCAGCAGCCGGCTTTCACTGCTACTCTTACGCTCGGGAAGGCCCCTCCCTCATTGGGATTAACGCGACTACTGCGCGCGCTTTTCCTCCGGAAACCTCTGCGATCCGACTGCCAATGGCATCATTCCTTTATCGCACGTGGTAATTGCACTCGATGGGCCACTGCTGCGAGTGGAGAAAAATAAAACTCTCCTTCGACTATCTGCCGCGTGCATAACTATTCCTGCTTATACGACTGTTTTGGGAACACGTGGTGATGGATTTTAATACGCGTTATTGGCATGCAGAAGTGACATTTTGCAGTAATTAAAGGAATTTTGCGTAGATTGTTCGATTATTGAGTGGGCACAAATGGTTGGCATTATCGCTTATCATTAATAAATTGGTCTTTCGGTATCATTGGTGGCTTTCTAGATACATTAATCGTAAGTTCTAGCCCTAAACTATCATTAATCTTATATAAAGTAGTTGACCTTTGATACTTAACAATTCTCACAACTAATATCTTCCCTTAAACAAAATAACGTCCCGTTTAACGATTAATGTTTTTTTTTTTTTTTTTTTTTTTTTAATAATATACATTAGGACACTACTATCAAAGTTTTTATTTAGAAACTCAGACTAATATAATGTGTTTTATGTTAATTTAATTATCCTTTATCTTATGGGGTTTCCGGAGGAATGAATGTAATTTTAGAAATACGATTTTTCGAAGTAAAAATATTCTGTTATTTTAGAAATATCACTTGTTTCTCGTTGTAAAAATAAAATCACTTATAAATTCATACTTGCGGATAGTATGATTTCCCAATCAACAATGACGTCATACTATTGAATTTATACAGACAATTGAACTTTTCATAAATAGCTTACTAATTATTCACAGTAAACAAGTGCTTTGACTTAACTGCTTTCCAATCAGTGCAACAGTACTTTGCGTAATAAAATATATTTCAGTAGTCGTATTTTTCTTAATGTATCAGTCTATTTGTAGAACTCACTTAACTAATAATAAAACTATGGCGGATATAATAATTTGAAATTTTTTTTTTTTATAAATTCTGCTACTTTATGTTTTACGTATTTCCATAGAAACAATTATTTACAATTTACAAATATATTTTAACATTAAAATAATGTATCAGATATACGATCGATTGAATTTTGAATATAATAATAATAATATGATTTACATTGGCTTCTTCCTATCTATTATTCCAAACAATCATATTCTCCATCGTAATTGTTTTATATAAATTCAACAGTAAGGTTTCTTTAAAAAAAAAAAAAAAAAAAAAAAAAATCCATGACTTTACGAATATTCTGAAAATACATAATAAAAGTTAAACGATAAAATTATAGTTTTTTTTGTTTTGTTTTATAAATGACCCAATGCGAACAAATGCAATTGTAAACAAATACCGGAATCCTCGTCTATTGAAATACAAGTAACTTCGATATAATATCTTTTATGTATAAAGGCTATACAACTCTACAATTCTGATAAAAAGGTATATTTCATGTAATTAAAATATAAAATATTGGCGAAGTTTGTCTGGTATCAGCGAGCAGCAAAAATGGTGAGCTCTCGAACAAGTAACGTAACGCCGATGCCGCATTACATTGCCATTCTATTTGAATTGTTGAAGTAAAAAGTTTTTACAATGTATATCCGTTGCTTATCGGAATCTGGAGATCAGAGTATACGTTCAATAATGCGACACTTGTTCTTTATTCACTCTTTTGGGTGTTAACATCGTTGCTAATTTTATATGCATATTAAGCACCTTTCTTACGCGTTTCATCATCGTCTAACAAATATGTTTTAATTACGCAATACACTATTTTTGTATTCGAATAATTTAGCGAATTTTATAAAAGAATCTATTCAGTAAGTAAATGTATCCAATCATATTAACAGCATCCTTTCATCTCTCTTCAAGCTCCGTGAATGAAAGAATAAAGTATCGAATGTTGATTTTACTTTATGAATCGAAACTGATGGTTCTAATAATTAATGAAATTGCGTCAATCGTTGTCTATTAACTTGTACTTTCAACGTTATTCAAATATAATGGTAACTTAAGTCATTTCTAGCTATATATTTCGCTATATTTTTCTAGTTGTAGAATTAATATATCGTAGAATAGATTTATTACGCTTAAGACTTCTTTTTTTTATGTATTATTTTGCAATCTTCTTTTCCATAATTTGCATGCCAAGTTTCAGTATAAAGCACTCCTCTCGCCTATATAATTACTTAAATTTTGTTCAGTCTGCTTAAAATTACGTTCTTTATCAAAATGTGTTTTTTAATTTAAACTTAATATTTCATTGGGAATCGACAAGAGAGAAAGCATTAAATAAAAAACAAATAGTGAAAAATATTCAGCAGCTGAATTATAGTGTGAAAGAAAAATTTTTACATTATATTTTTGGTGCTTTGAATGTTTTTATACACGAGATCTTCAAGCTTACATAATTATAGATACAACATTTAATAAAATAATATCGATGATAACTGTGTACTATCGTATATTAAACCTCTACGTTGAAACAACTATTAGCCAACTAATAATACTATGAACAATTTTTTTTTTTTTTTTTTTTTTTTTTTTCAATAGGAAAGTTGGTGTAATGACAATAGCAATAAATCTCTGCTACCTATTAGAAAACTTATTCTCCACATGTTCGATAAATTATCGGGCAACGAGGTCGATGAAATGCATTATCCATGAATTCAATATTGACACCGCAAACTTGTGCATCCGTTGATCTGTAATTAATTAATCGCTTCTGTTCGTCGTTACAGCGATCGTCTCATTATCGACCAACTTAGATTGCCATGTAAAACATTACCGGAAAATCATTATTCGGTGACGAAACTCGGGGCCACTCTCATTTTAGTCTACTTAAACAATTGTAGTATTGAATTTGGCGGTGCAAGGAAAACGAAACAATTCACAATTGATGTCACATTCATGAGCTTTCAAAGTTTTTCAACAAATCCAATATCATTATATACGGAGCTTAAAAGCTAAATGTCAAAATTATTTTAGTTAATTGTGTTTAATGAATATATTTAAGTTAATATTTCTAACAATATACCTTTAAACGCCACCCTTACTTCTCCATTTATTATTTCTTTTATTCCCCTCATATATATATATATATATATATATATATATATATATATATATATATATATATATATATATATATATTTATTGGAGTCTCTAGATATTTTATTGCTTTTTCTTCGCTCTAATTTACGTTCTCGCCACATGGTATAAAATATAAAAGGATTGGTGAAATAAAATTAAGATGAAGGCGAAAGACAAATATATCATACGAGTATACGAGTATATATTACTTTACACAACTTTTACAACACAAATTCCAAAATCGTGCTTCTCTTTCTATATATAATTCTATATTTATCAAGAATAAATATAATTGACAACTTATCTATTAAAATAATTCCTTTTGACTAATCCTCTAATTTTCGCCAAATTACGTCGCATTGTTGTGCTTAATATTTTCGTCTGAATAAGTTTCCAAAGACGATTCTTCAAAAAGATTGTGACAAAATTTGTCGAGTATTTTTTATTTGATATTTGATAAAATCCATATACAAATAATTATAATATTATATTGAATATTGATATTTTTTATTAATTGGTCTACTATTATTAGATTCGCTATTTGATTCATAGAATGGATATTCTAAAATTAACAAATATTGACAATTAAGTGTTTAGTATTACTTTAGATTTTTGTTTATACTAAAATCTTCGGCATAAGTATTTTGTAATTTGCAAATCAATTATTATTAAAAGACTAAATAAATATTAAATATAAAAACGCTTCTTCAAATTCCTTCAATCAATAATATGCACTGCTTACTTGCTAAAAATTTATAATCTTTATTTATCGTTCATTATCTGTATTTTTTGTTTTCCAAGAAATAAATTATAAGCATCAATAAGTCTTAAGAAAATTTTTATTTTTAAGTAAAGCTTACCACCTCAAAATTTTTTTTTTTTTTTTTTTTTTTTTTTTTTTTTTTTTTTTTTTTTTAATAAAATTACGCACAATTGTGTTTAGATGTAAATTAGTGCTATAAGTTCAAAATATAAATTCGCGTAAAACAATGATAGCAGTTAAAAATATAAACCAAGAGAATATTCGCCGAGGCTCTTTTACCTTTATAAACGGATTTTGAGTTTTCAGTCCAATATGAATAAACTCACATATGCGCCCTTAAATGGTAAACACGACTACATGCACAGCGCTTAAATATCCTACTTTATAACCTATGACTAAGCCAGTTCAGATAACACCTTTTAATATCCTGCCGTAGCCCATACTTAAAAGCAACCTTAAAATTACTGAACAAACACATACGTTATATTTTATTATGAAATTTTTTTTTAATTCTAATAATAATATATATATATATATTACAAAATTCAGTATATTGGTATTAGCTTTAGATTGAGTAAGTATTAGTTTAGCGAATAAATGTAATTGTATGGTTGTATGTGTACATATACGTGAAGACTCAAGGGAATACGAGTAATGAATATAGGCGAACGAATAATATCGGCATTGATGAACATTTTCTTCACTAATATTAAATTGTCATTTAAATTAAATAGGATAATATTTATTCTTAATCGTTTTTTTTTTTTTTTTTTTTTTTTTTTATTAAAGACACGAATAATTTGAAAAGGACATATAATATTATACGAGTTGATTAAACAGACTGATGGCATTGAAAGACTATAATATAGCTATATTCTATCCATCCTAATCGATAAAATTGTCAATATTGTACAATTAATTAACAATCGATAAAACGTGATATAATATTAGATGATAAAATATGTCTTCCTTCTTCCAGAAATTGAGTAATATTAAAAGTTCAGAATTTAAATCACTCCACGCCCATATAGAACTTACACATTCGAGTGATTG